AATTTTAACATGTGAATAGTGTGTGTTGTTTGGAATATATATGGTGAAGCTATCAAAATATGCGCTTACGACATGAATTTAGTTTGAAAATAATAGTTGCATATTTTATTCTGCTGTTTTATGTATTGAGTATTGACGTGATCCAAAGTTATTGAGCCTAAATCAATTTAAATATCTTCAACTTTAGTCTAATTGACTAATGAACGAAATGAACGGTATGCAATTTGTATAGTCATAAATTGCAGAGCAAATATCCTCTTGAATTTTATACTTATAGATATGAGTTTCCCTGAAGGATTATATAATTAAAAGTATCACTAGTGAATTTAAATATCGACCTAGATTTGGTTATCCTTGAAGGATTGGTCCTGTTGACCAGTACCATAATTGCATAAGAATTATCTAGCGAGGATCTTTGACAAGTAATCTCATTGATTTTTTGGATAAATTCGTGATTTTTTTTAGATCAGCTCTACATATTCAACATACTTTTAATGAAGTTATGTAACCAGAATGTTACATAGATTGAATCTATACAAAAGTATTATGAAATTATTTATGTTTGCTTGTATATTTGATAAGATGCATACCACAGACTTATATTGTTGATAGCTATAATGTTAGTTTATATGTGGTGCCTGAAGCATATAATATAGTTTATAGCTACAATAAAAGGCTCACAAGCAAAGTATAGTTGTAGTGCCTGAAGCATATAGTGTTCACTTAGAAATGATTATTATACTTCGATGCCCAACTTATATATTGATAATTAACATGAGCAGTTGGATCATATTGGGCAATTATTTATGAAAATTTCCCCCTAATATGCGTGGAGAATCAAGCATTTCCCATCTGCAATTTATTTTTATATTTTTTTATCACCACCAATTCGTACCTTTATGGGCCTATATTACAAACTAGGTATGTTATTTTTTTTTATATACTCCGTTGAATCTTTAATACCTAGAGGCCCTTATGGGGATCAGTTTATTATTTGGTACGTGTTTTGCATAATACATGAAGATGATTTCATGGCATTAGGGGGAGATATGAGCATAAGTTTATTAATGCCATGAAATATGTGAAACCACGCAATAAATATTGAACTTGAAGTTCATATTATATTTCTGCCAAGTGAAATCTATAATAATAATGGAGTGGCCAATTTATAAATATATCTGATGGGTTTCTTCTCAGATCTGGAACGGTCTAATGAGAAAACGTCCGGATCTGGGACGAACCGGTACGGATGAGCTTAGATCTGATGTGAAGGCGATCGAACCGTTGTTGCGAGCCGCAAGAACACCTGCAAGAACTCAACGCCGGAGGGGTTTCCGGCGTAGAGCCTCCGACGCTCAAGTCAGTATCTGAGAGAGGTGATGATGGCTGCTATCAGAGCAGCAGCAGTAATGAAAAGGATATGGAATGAAATGGGAGTTAGGGTTTTGGGATTACCTCAGTCCTTTATATAGGAGTACAATATATACCTGAAGTCCCCAAAATGCCCCGGCCGACTTAATGGAAATGTCCAGAATACCCCGGTCGGTTCATATTCCGCCTACTTCCTAGTCAGCATCTAGATCCTTCCTGAGCTTCCTTCTTATCCTTAATTCTTCTTCAATATACTGAGGTGTGTCAAAGCTATCGGGCACCACGAGCTACAACTCCCTCAGTCGACCTGAGACATTACGTCGAGTCGACTGGGTCGCACTCAACTGTTAGTAGACCATAATACGTCTGACCGTTATCTTACCAGAAGTCGACTTACTCTAGTCGACACATGTACATTGACTCGGTCGAGAGCCGGGCTTCTTGACTGAGCATCATGGAACCTTACTCATAGAGTCGACTTTGCTGAAGTCGACTCGGTAATCTCAAACCGTGACGATATGAACCGTTATGAGCCAATCGCGGCAATGCCGCGGTTACTGAACCGGTGCACGACAGTATGGCTATATCAATATCGATGTACCACAAAGTAAGCAAATTTCCTAGGGAATGATTGACTCCTTAGTGCTAGAAGCATAAGGAGATATAATAAATATATGATGTATGAAAGTCCGCGGAAAATGTATATTCAAGAATTAACACTCCTTTATGAGAAACTCCTGAAGAGTTGATCCAGTACATCTTGCACGTGCATCAAACCATTATAGTACTGGAAATGCGGAACGGCCAAAATTAGATATTATGGGAAATGATTATAAATATGGCTAATAAATAAGAAGTTGCATATATGGTTGAGAGAAAAATATAAATTGAATATCATAGTTGTCGACAACATACTTGCCTATGTGATTTCTTTACTATCTCATATAATGATCCGGATCAGAATAATGAAAGTTCTAGAAGCACTTAGGCTAATTGAGATAGAAAGAAAAATTGAGGCAGAGCTTTCACTCGCTACACGATATATCCCAGGAGGATAGCATATCCCAGAAGGATAATGAATATTTATATGAAACATGTGATGTGGTGGTGTGATGTAAATATAGCGAGATTATGCTCACGGTTTATGCAGAGACCCAAATGTTTATTTAGATAAGTTCTCTCATTATCAATGATTCCGCAAGTTAATATTTATGGCAGCATCATTACAATGACTATTGAGTCATATGTGAAAGTCCTGGATGGACTCGAGTACCCGAGATGAAAGATAATTAAATGATAAATAGATTCATTATTTAAAGTTGTTGGTGAGATGTGGTACAACCAACTAAATTCTTCCTGAAGAAGTAAAATAAGAAAATTCAAGGTAGAACCTTGTGTATAATGATAATATACAAAATGATCATCTCGACCAAATAGATTATGTGGTGAACACTATGTAAAATATTAAATAAGTTAGTTCATGCTTATAGACGGAGTAAGGATGAAACTTTTGGTTAAATACCAAAGAGTATTATCTCGACTTGTTGATCGAGCATCTCCTAGAAGGAATATTTTTGACCCAACCAATTTACTTGAATCTCTTTTAGAGATGTAAAACTGTAACACCAATGAGTGTCAAATATTTGGCATTTGACAAAGATCCAAAGAAACAAATGAGGATATTATAGGACTTGGAGTTCAAATGGACTTGAAGTCCACAAACGACATGAAGTTTATTTATCAAGCGCAATTGTGCTGAACTTTTATCTCGCAAACTGCATCAGGCCTGATACTGCATTTGTGATGAATTTGCTAGCAAGATTTACTAAATCTCTCCTTAGAGAGATATCGTGATGAACATTGAGAATATCCCATTATTCTTCATGTATGTTGAGTTATCTTTGGACTTGATATATGATATTGGTGGATAAGGATATCAATTGTATAATTGATCCCCCAAGTATGGGTCCTCAATTGGTTATATACCTCTCAAATGGTATTAACTCTTTACCATTGGTTATTGAAATTTCTTCATATTTATCCTGAAGATAACTTAGTTTGTGTTACACAAATAAATTATATAAATACATTCGATGATATTTCTGAATCTATATCAACTCCCGAAGAGCAACAAATGACGATTTTATGTTAGAAACTTTTACATTGAGGGGGAGCAACATATAATTAGGAATGAAACTAAACAGGTTTTCCCTTCAGGGGGAGCGATAAATAAATCTCGAAGATCGAACCCGGAAGGTTAATTATAATCCTGAAGATTAGGCCCTGTTGGCCGGTGTTGTACTCTTTTTCCCTTGACTAAGTTTTTTCCCATTGGGTTTTACTTAGTAAGGTTTTTAACGAGGCAACAAGTGTAACACATAAATTTGCATGTGTCATGTACTCTTTTCCTCGACTATTTTTTTTTCCCCTCTGGGTTTTGTAGCGTGGTTTTTAACGAGGCATGGACATGATGCGGTAATGTCCAAGGGGGAGTGTTGTAAATATTAAGTTGTGGACAATACCTAGATATAGGATTTGTAGGCATGGGTCAGGAGCCCATTAGGTATTTACTCATGTACATTATATTCCCTTATATATAGGGCTCAAGTGGATGAATAAGATGATGGTTTTTACGGCGTATCTCTTCTCTCTTATTCTCTTCTTCTTCTACTGTTTCTATCTTTGTCTATTTTACACATAGATTTTACATATTGTCAATCTATATTACAACACTCGTTAATTATTTTACTTTTTCAAGTGAAAATCCGCTTAATTATCTCTTTATCTAAAAAAATTACAAGCAAGTGTAATTTTCAAAGAGTTATTAGATTAGGATTTTTATCAATTATAAAGTGTAATTTCAAAGAGTCCTATTAGATTAAGATTTTTAATAATTATAAAATTATCTTTAAGGACCATTATCATTAGGATATTGAATTACACTTTACATTTTTTTCCATTGAAATTATATTAGACATATGGACATTTTAGTCCATACAACTTTTTACAAAGTCATTCTTTTTTATAGATAGTATAGATATAGTGTATCAACAATATAATTACAAACATTTAAGCATGACTATTGGCCACAAACTGAACAAGCTATGGATTTTTTATTTTCTTTTTGTTAATTTAATTGCGAGTTTATATGAAAAAAAAAAGGATATGAAACGATAAACCAGATTAAAGCAATGCAAATCAAATATATTTATTGAATTTAAAATATGTATTTTTATTTTCCAAAATTAAAACACGAAATTGTATAAATATAAATTCTTTTATGTTTCCCACTCGATAACCCCGTTTTGTGTAGCACTCAACAACTTTCGGGTGAGAAGCCGATTCTCTGTTTGTCCAGGTCGAAACTGACTCGGAAGCCCTGTTGCTGAAAATTACCAATTATAGACAGCCTGCCCGGCGAGGTCTTGCCCGCAAACGCAAAGCAGTACTTTCTGCCTATGGTGTCCGCTGGATACAGGATATTCGACTCCGGCAGGGACACGTTGGCGCCTTTGAAGTGCAGCACCACCGTTGGCACATTCACCTTCTTCATCCCGTGTAAATCGAAACACGTGTCAAGGATGCTGAATTTCTTGGCACGCTTCAGGCCACGAGTCCCGGCCAAGAATGCGTTCCTGAGCGCATTATAGGCAGGCTGGACCAGCCAGGTCAAGACCGTGCCCGAGTCCACAATCACGCCCCCGTCGCCGTCGCTGCTTAACTGGAAGAGGGACGGATTGATTCCCCGCACCCGGTTCCCGCCAACCGAGATCCCTTGCAGCTCGACGTAGTAATACGTGTCAATTGCGGGATTGGTGAGCAGGCTCGTGAAAACCGCTTTCCTGGAGACCGCCGAGTCGCCAAACATCAAATACGACGACGAGTTGGAGCCCCATCCCACGAGGCAGTAGGAGAACTTCTGTATGTCGGCCTGGGCCGGGAAGGACAGTTTCCCTTGGCCGAGGCCAAGCAGACCGGCGAACCCGCCAAATAAGCCCTCGTTGTCATTGCCACAGCCGAAAGGGAGTTGCGGCACTTTGGTCGCCCCGAAGGTCAGTGTCTCCGTGGAAAACTCGCCCGAGGTGGTAGATTGGTCTCCGTACGTGACCTCGTAGAGGCACTGGTCTTTGTTGCATCTCCGTTGGTCAAGGAGGCTGCAGAGGGTGGAGTTGCAGTGGACACTTGCAAAGGACCTGGAATATTTGGGGTCGAAGATGTCGTCGACCTGGGAGTAGCATTTTTGGCAGGGCTTGCACTGGAGCCATGTGAGGTCGCTGCCAGTGTCGATGGCCAGGTAGAAGCGCTTGGCCGGGGTGCCGAACCCGATGCGGGTGAAGTACTCGCCGCTGCCCATTGAGGCACCGGGGATTAGGGAGCTGCTAAAGTTTCTGGATTTTCGGGAGGCCATGGTTCTGGCCCGGACGGCATCGCGTTTGAGGCGGTTCAAGAAGAGGGACTCAGGGGTGGAGGTGGAGGATTTGGAGAGGTGGTGAACGTGGTGCAGGCGGACCACGATTAGTGGGGTTTCGGAATCGAAATCAGACAATTGATGGGGCACGTCCCAGGAGAGGGTTTCTAAAGATTGGCCTACTTGGGGGAGTGAGGTGGGGAAGAAGACCTGGTGTTGGTATTGGAGGGGATCTGATGAGACGGAGATGATAACGGTGAAGAGGAGGAAGAGGAAAACGATCTGTTTTGCTTCCATTTTGTGAGGGACAGAGAATGGAGATGGAGATCAGAGTGCTATATATGTTTTCAAGGGTATATATAATAATGGAAATGATGTGGGCGAGACTCAGACTCGGACTCATATACTTCAACTGTGGGAGTATTCAAAAGGGGTTGCTTTGGCATCTTTTACATTTGGAAAAATGAATTACTAAATTTTGAGTTCCTGTTCTTCAATTCTGAGTTAAATAGTAACTTTTGGCAAACTAAATTAATAAATTTTGGTTTCTTTTCTTCAATTCTGGCTTTAACAATTATATTACTTCCTGCTATTTTTTTTTTATTTTTTTTTTCATCAAACTATTTTACAAAAATACAATTACATATATATTTGTTAATCGTTCTTATATGAAATTAACCCCCCTTCAATTGTATTGATATGTGATATAGATTTTCCAAATAACCCTGATTGAAGTTATTGGTTCTCTATGGATCTTTAAATCTCACATGACCTTCTCATCCGAAATAGAGCCTTCGACGATCAAGTCAGTCCATCTAATGTATAATATGTATATGATAATGTATGTAATATAATAATTTAACAATGATCATACATCTAATCTTATGAAAAAATAGTTACATTGTCCCAGAAGAGCTCTATTCTCGTGAGAAAACAAGACATGCTCGTACCTTCTCGGAATAGCTCTCCTCATCTTCATTAGATGCTAGGTGGTCAACGTCTCTATTAGATCGCTAGGAGATCGCCTGAGTACTTTGCAATGATTCCAGATTTTAGAGGAATTTATGGAGGCGTACACAATATCCTCTAGGGTACGACAGGAAGAATCTGTATAAAATCTCCTCCAAAAGATAAATATTTCTTGTCAGGATTTAAACCCGTATGTTTTAATCTTCGATGTAATGCTTCAAACAAAGATATGTTCATCATTGGCGGTTCATCTCATATGACTAATTTCGTCTTTTGCAAAAGCAATGCTAACTCGTAATTTGGAGTAAATGAGAACATAGATTTCTCACTAATGGTGACAGGAATTCTAAAGCGAGAATGAGTTGTACGACCTCACCTGTAGGCGAATGGACAAGCATAGGTTGTCATAGGTCCATATTAAATGAATTAAAATGTCGGCTGGAGAAGGCTTCATGAGCGTGGGTAGACGAGCTTGATTTAATTTGATGGTCGTATAGACGACACCAAGACTTTCCACGGGGGAGATGCCATTCAGCCTGGTGAATGGCATGGAGGCAGTCATCTCGGTGGAAATTGGCTTGAGCTCGGGAAGAGTCATACATAGAAAAGGTAACAATAGCTACAAATGGAAACTCTGGACCTGGTAGACGAGTTGCGCGATCGAGCAGCCACTAGAACGGTTGTTTATAAACACCAGCTGAGAGCAATTCATGACAAAAGCATTCAAGGTCGGTGTTTCCAGGTAGGAAACCTGGTCTGACTCGACCCTCAAGCATGTCGAAAAATTGGAGCCAAACTGGGAAGGGTCGTACTCGATCGCAAGAGTCTTTGCAGGAGGTGTGTATGAGCTGCGTGATAAAGAAGGGCGACTGGTGCCAAAGCCATGGAACGTAGTGCACTTGAAAACGTTTCATGCATAATTTTATTGTAGATTAATATTTGTTCGCTTCTTTTACATATGATAAGTATATGTTATTCACAAATAAAGACTTTCATGTTATGTGTTGCTATAAACCCCTGCGCTAAGTGTATGTTGGAAAGCCTGTCGCGATATCGCTCTAGTTCGCAGAGCTCGACAATGATCAGATTAGGGCAAACACCTGTCGCGATATTGTTTGAGCTCGTGAAGCTTGACGATGATCAGATTAGGGCAAAACCTGTTGCGATATCGTTCGAGCTCGTAGAGCTCGGCGATGATCGGTTAAGTCAAAAACCTGTCGCGATATTGTTCGTGCTCTTGGAGCTCGACAATGATCCGATTGGGGCAAATGCCTGTCACGATATTGGGAAAAAAATGTTTTTTGGTCCTTATTTGCAGGTCTTTCTCAATTTGGTCCAGTAAATGGACCGATTTTGGAAATAGTCCTCTAAGTGAAAAAAAAAAAGTTTTTTTTGCTCCTTTGACCGCCTACAGCAGGTCAGATTACCGGCTGCCTACGTGGAAGTTTGTTTGATTTTTTTTTTTT